AACGTGTCATTTAAAAAAAAATGACAGAAAAGGAAAAGGAAGGAAGAGAGGAAGGAGTTAGGGAGGGAGGACAGGAAGGAAGGAAATGAAAGGGAGGCATAAAGCAGCAAAGTAACTGACTTGAAGCTCCACAGCTGGAGTAACTGAGCTGCAGCTGGATCCTAGGTGTGTCTGTGTGTAGTCACAGAGCACGGTCCGTGGGGCTTTGCTGAGCTGGGAAGGAAATCATACTTGGAAGGAGGAAGAAGACAACTTTATAAAGGAGGTGGTTTCAAGTTGAGCTGTCCCAAATAGGGTGTGTTTTTGTTGTATACACAGATGGACTCGGAATGGTCCTACAGACAAGAAAAGTGGACAAAAGTATAGATACCCGGAGAGGTGTATAGATGATGAAAGCAGGTGACTAAAGGATAGAGTGTGCTGGGTTTGCAAGAAGGTTCCAGAATAGGAAGGACTGGCAGGGAATGCCAAAAGATGCAGGCCGCCACCCCCATCTGCTACCCCAGCCACACTCTTAGAACACTGACTTAGGGGAGCATAGTGGCAGATACACAAACAGATAAGACAGGCAGACCCATACAGAGAAGCAGCCAGAAACTTCCAGGGCTAAGACCGAGCCAAATGACATAATCTACAGCACACAGTGATGCAAAGACCCACATGCACATATACAGATGCACAGACAAACGTAGACACACGCATCCAGAAAGAACAGTAAGACAGAAAACAACCCATGGAGACAAAGACTGTCAAGAGGACAGGCACACAAGCATGTGCCAAGCGCACACACATTCATAGAGAGAGAGAGAGAGAGAGAGAGAGAGAGAGAGAGAGAGAGAGAGAGAGAGAGAGAGAGAGAGAGAAAGGGGGGGGGAACCGACCACTGCCACTGAAGAGCACACGTGGCCCATCCCTTTTCTATCTGCTTGATTGCTATTAAGGCCTGGCCACCTCCTCTGGTCTTCTCTGGACAGAGGGGGTAGCTCCACCCCTGGGAGGAGCTGGGGACTTCAGAGGACAGGAAGGGAAGGGAGTGGAGCTGCAGCTGGGAGCACTGGGGACAGTAATTACCCAGTGCTGGGGCTGCCACGCTGGCTGGAATTACCCTCCCAATGAGGACAAAGCCACTAGAGGGATGATCCCTCTGACCCCTGTCTTGACCCCAGGGCTGTCCCCCTAAAACCAATGCATCCACCCTCCTGCCCACTAGAAGCCTGGTCCAATCTGAGAACCGCATACACAGAGGAGTTAGGAGAGGAAAAGCTATAAAAAGAAAACTGGGCATGATGGTACATGGCAGTAATCCTAGCACTTGGGAGACAAGAGGTAGAAGGACCAAGGGTTCAAGACCAGCCCAACTACATAGTAAGTTTAAGGCCAGCCTGGATTACACGAAACCCTGTCTCAAAACCCAAACAAACAAACCTCAATAAAGAAAGATTCTGGGAAAAAGACAAGGAAGCAGGAGGCAGGAAACCTTCAGAAACCCAGATAGATATAAGAGGAAAGACAGAAATTGGGACAAGTCAGAATGGAGATGGACACAAGGTGGTCTGCACGGGGCGTGGAAGTCACCGAGGGATGCAGGCAAAATGGCAGGCGAGGGCTATCTGTTGAACATGGCTACAATGGGCCTCTGGGCTTTGCCTGTGGCATTTAATCCATACGATAGCCCTAAGAGGTGGGATTGCAGGGCATTTTATAGTTAAGAAAACTGAGGCACGGAGAAGCAGGACCACAGGAAACTTTCCAAGGTAGCAGACGTGGGTCTGGGAGGGGGCCTCTCCCCATCACTGCAAGAGACACGGCTCAAAGATCCTGGAAGGCATTCTCCAGAGAGAGAAAGTCCCAGAGACTGGGAAACTCACCCTAAAAGACGCACAGCCCGAGAGACTTCCACCTTCCCTAACTCCCTCCCTTGCTGCTGTGTGAGAGGGGTTGTACCTACACCTGGAATGTATTAGGTGGGGAGGCCCAGGCTGGGGGAGCCAGGAAGAAGCTGGGGGGGGGCAGAGAAGGTGAAGGCAAAGCAAGGGAGGCAGCGTGGGCGGCTGCAGCGGCAGGCAGCGCTGGCCTTATGGGCTAGCGGAAGGGCTTCTATGCCAGCTGCAGCTCCCAGGGGCCAGCCCTGCCAGTCCCGCCTTTCCCACTTTCCAGAGCAGACTTTTGCTCAGCGACTTAACCCTTTCCCTTTCAGGGCCACTGTGAAGCATAAGGCAGGAAGTGGGGCAGACAGCCGAAAGGGAAAAGGCAGCGGGATAGCCCACTGTGCTCTGGCAGCTCTAGTCACACACCTGTGACTTACATCCTGTCCTTCCTTTGGGGCCCAGGAAGATACATCTGGTGCCTGTTGCACACTGTTCTAGATGAAGTCTTACATCGTCGGGGCTCCTAAGACCCAGTGTATCCTAAAAACAATAAACATCCCTACCCCAGCCAACAGTTAGCTCCTCCTCTTGCCTTTCCCATTCCAGGAACAGCAAGCACCTCCATTCACCCAAGCGGTTCAAGTCACAGACTGACCTTTCTCCACCACTCCTTAACCCACACAACCAACCAACTCCCAAGTCCTGCAGACAGGGGCCCTTTAGTAGCTCTAGAGTCCATACAATGTCCGCTTCCAGTCTCTGTTTCCCTCCATCCTCAGGGCCCTCACTCTCCATAGTCCAGCCAGGCTTCTTCTAGCCTTGGGGTGAACTCTGAACTCCAGAAAAGAGGAACAAGAAAGGCCTAAGCTCATGAACACTGCCCCACACCCATCCTTGAGCCACAATGGCCTCTTGTCTATTCCTCGAAAGTGCTTTCTTCCGCCCGGGGCTTTGGCGCATGTCGTTCGTTCTGCAGCTTGAACTCTTTCCCCACGTCTTCTCACCTCTGGACATCTAATTATCCTTCAGGTCTGAACATTAATGTGTCACCTGCCTCCTCTCCAGGTGTCCCTGAAACACCTGTGCTGGGAATGACTTGCAGCGTGTCTTTCCTGCTAGATGTGAGCTCCATGAGGACAGGGACATATCTCAGCACACCTCACAAAGCTGAGCACACTGGAGGCCGTCGACAGACATGTTAAGGAAACAGCCTCCTTTCCCCACCTTTCTCTCTTAGAGGTTCACCAGGTATTTATGGCTGTCATGTGATAGCCCAGGCAAATGGGATAAGCCATATTAGAGATGGGGAAGCTAAAGCTGCCGGGAGACGGGAAGTGAGGATAAGGAACCAATGGCAGGTCCGGGAGTGCTGAGGTCCTGTCAGTGCTGAGGTCCCATCAGTGCTGAGGTCCCGTCAGTGCTGAGGTCCCGTCAGTGGACGCCCTAGAACCGTGACACCAGGTATTCTGGAGGTATAATGCCTTCCAAGTTGAAGGAACTGGACACTAGAGCCCTGGAGGGCTGGATCTGTGGCTCGAGGGGTGTCTGTTCTCTCTGCATTAAGGAACTGAAATCCAAGAGGCTAGCCAACGACAGGCTATGCTTCCTGCCCTCATTCCAGACAGGTCCTAGCCCCACCCAGCCAGCGTCTGGCCAGCACCACATCTGCCTAAGGCATTTAGTTAACTGGCTGCAGAAAGCCACTGCTTGTGTCTGTGTAGGGTACTGTTAGTTGTCACTCACTCTGGAGGGAGGAGGGAGCCCTCACTGGGCCCTCCTTGGATAGGACATCTGAAAGGGTTGAAGAGTGGAGTGCCATGCAGCTACACTGGAAACTTACAATTCCTTTAATCTGGGGAAGCCCTTTTGCCCACCTGCCCAGTCTTGACATTTTGTTGTTTAATTGAAAAGCTCCAGCTAACTAGGAACGGAATCTAAGATGTTTCCCAAATCTAGGCTCTCCAAAAATCCTGCAAACCTCACCACCTAGCTCACCACTGTTCCTAGGCTGAGACCCCTCTGTTTTCCCCCAAGGAACCAAACCAAACCAAACCTCCTGAGGCCTCTCAGATGCCCTCACCATGGAAAACAAGGAAGGGGCCACCCAAACACTTTTCTGGTAATGTTTGATATGCCTTTCAGGAGTTCTTTGCAAAAGTCAGCTATTCTCAATGTGTGTGCAATAGGCCTCAGCTCCATGCAAATGGCTTTTTTTTTTAAATCCTGATGTGATCAGACACCAGCCGCCCTGGGAATTGAACCCGGGTCCTCTGGAACATCAGTCAGTGCTCTTAACCGCTGAGCCATGTCTCTTCCCCCATGCAAATGTTTTTAAAGCTGCCACACACAAAGAGACTTATCAGAATGTGGCTTTACTGACCTCAGCATCTGTCTCCAAGGATGCAATAGAACCTCAGACTCATACCCTGCATTAGAGCCACCTTGTGGTTTACGGTATATGTTGGTGGTGAACACTCCCAAACATCTCTCACATAGAAATCTTTCTGGAGATTTATAACCCTAAATCCCAATGTCTGCTGACCATCACTACCTAGCTATCCTCCTAGGTCTCAAACTTGGCGAGTCTCAAACACAACCCATCACTTTCCCCTAAACTGGCTCCTTCTCTTGTGTAGATGGCTCCACTATCATCCACTAGGTCACTCACTATAGCTGGTTTCAGAAAACTACCCCAAACCATCCTGGAGTTTTCCTCCTTTCTTGACCTCTACAGCCATTACCAAGGCTTGTCCATGTTGGAACTTAAATGTTCCTCCAATCCACCTTCCACCTGCTACAACTTTAACCTACGCTACCATCACCTTTCACAAAATACATGACCCTCACAAGTTTGTCCCCTCTGCATGCTTCCACTTTTTGTTTTGTTTTGTTTTGTTTTTCGAGACAGGGTTTCTCTGTGCAGCTTTGCGCCTTTCCTGGAACTCGCTTTGGAGACCAGGCTAGCCTCGAACTCACAGAGATCCGCCTGGCTCTGCCTCCTGAGTGCTGGGATTAAAAGTATGCGCCACCACCGCCCGGCAAGAGACAGGGTTTCTTTAAGTGGCTTTGGCTATCCTGGAATTGGCTCTGTAGTTCCAGGCCAGCGCTGGGACTAAAGGTGTGAGCCACCACCACCTGGCTTAATGCTTCCTGAATTGGCCTGTTATCCTTGCACAGGGCCATGTTATTCTTCTCTGTATCATTCCAATTTTAGTATACATGCTGCTAAAGCAAGCATACACTTCTACTCTTAATCCCTTCCATCCATTTTCCATGTGCACTTAATGAAACTTTGAAACACCAGCACCTAAGCACATCACTTCCCCATGAATAAGCCCTCAACCAGCCTGCTTGCCCTCAGGACAAAGTCCCTTTGCTAGCCTTATCCCTCCACTCTTCCCCAGTACTGGTCCTCTAATCAGTGCCTCTAATCAGTGCCTTGTGTTTGCTTTTCTTTGCTGACACCAGATCTTCTAGCTGAACTGACCTCCATGTTTTCTAGGTCTATGAGCCTTAATAGACATACTTCTAAGTCCCTTCCCTTGAGATAGGATGGAGGCTTGCATTGGGCACTGCTGATACCAAATTTCCTATGCCCAAAGTTCCAGAACCTCAACTGTCTTCCAACTTAACAATAGTCAAATGTCAGTCATCACAAAAGCAGGAGAGAAAGGTAAACTGAGGCACCCAGTGTTTGTGTACATAGGGGCAAGGGATTAAGTCCCTTTCTTAAAACCCATGCTTCCTTTCTGAGCTTGGAGTGAGTTGAAGGACATTGATATGTGACTCTAGGAAGAAGACTTCAGAGACAATGCTCACTCGCTACAGGACCATGGCTGAATCACCGCCTCGCTGAGTCTCCATTGACTCAATCGGAAAATAAGCCTGGCTTCTTTCTACCCCTAGGCTATGCACCAAAATCACCTGGGAATCTTTTGTTGCTGTTGCTGAGACAGGGTCTCACTATGTAGTCCTGGCTGGCCTGGAACCCAGAGATCCTTCTGCCTCTGCCTGGGATTAAAGGTATGCACCATTACACCTGTCCCTTATCTGGGAATCTTTTTTGAAACCAGATTCCTGGATTCTAACTCCAAGACTCTGGAGCTCTGAGAATGACATTTACTCTTTAAGGTCAACAAAGAATTCTACTGCTTACTGAGGGTAGAAAGCCCAGAAGCAGCCAGTGTCTAGGGACTTAGGAGCACTGAACAATTGGAGTCTCTAAAGATGTAACCAAGAACGAACCAGTTCCTTCTGCTACTTTCATTAGCTGTTCTCTCACCCCCCACAAAACAGCTGATCCCAGCACTGGGGAGGCAGAGGCAGGCGGATCTCTGTGAGTTCGAGGCCAGCCTGGGCTACAGAGCGAGTTCCAAAACAGCCAGGGCTGTTACACCCTGTCTCGAAAAACCAAAAACCAAACCAACCAAACCAACCAAACCAACCAAACCAACCAAATGGCCCTAACATCAAGTCCAACTCCCTTGACTGAGCTAGAGTCAAGCCCCAAGCTCTCGCCAACCCCCAGCATGTGGGAAGACACTGTGGGCCTCAATTCTGAGGACTCAGTAGGATTCTTCCAAATCCCTGTGCATAACCCTGCACTGGGAAGTCCTTCGCTAACCCTCTCCCCAACCTCTCTGGTATCTCACTTGGTTATCCCAGTGACCCAAGGAAGCCTTGGGCTTCATCAGCCTAGGAAATGAGCATAACACTTTCCACCAGAAACTAGACAGAATAACAAAAAGAAAGGGCCCAGAGGTAACTCAGAGCTCTTCAAATGGATAAGACATAATTATTATTTTCACACCACCCACCCCCCTGCTGCTCTGGGATATGCCACTGGGACCAAAGGCTGGTGATTCAATAAAAGCCTCAGGAGAACGAAGGAGGAAGTCAGCAGGCACATGAATAGCTTAACATGTGGACTAAAATGTCTCCAGCCCTTTCATTGAAGTTCAGGTCTCTGTCTCTCTCTGTGTATCTCTGTGTTTCTCTCTCCCTCCTTCCTGCTCTCCCTCTTATACACACACCCTCCAACCACCAATCCTGCCCATTTTGAGCCAATTACAGGCAAGTCCTGTGGAGAGAGAAGCAAGTCACTTGTGCCTACCCCTGGGCTGGCTGTGCAGAGGGGGAGGCGGGCCTCTCACAACCCATGCTACTGTGAATCATATGGCTCAGTGCCCGCCTTGTGAGGACTTGAGAAATTCCTCGGCCTCTTCTTCAGAAGGGTTTTCTCTCTTCATACTTTATTCTTAAGTCCTCAGTGGCTGAGGGCTTTGCAAACAAGAACCTTACAGATTCCTAGATATCATTCTCTAGATGAGGGGAACTGAGGCACCAAGAACTGAAGCCATTCATCCAGGGTCATACAGTAAGTTAGGAATGGCTAGATGGGATAGCAAGTCTTTCCCTGACACCGCTTTTATTCCCAATCTTTACCTTTTATTAAAATAAAAGACACCTAGCTGGGTGGTGGTGGTGGTGGTGGTGGTGGTGGTGGTGGTGGTGGTGGTGGTGCACGCCTTTAATCCCAGCATTTGGGAGGCAGAGGCAGGTGAATCTCTATGAGTTGAGTTCAAGGCTAGCCTGGTCTACAGAGCAAGTTCCAGGACAGCCAGGATTGTTACACAGAGAAACCTCTTGTCCTAAAAATTAAAAAAAAAAGATATATATATATATATGAGACACCTGCCGGGCAGTGGTGGTGCACACCTTTAGTCTCAGCACTCGGGAGGCAGAGGCAAGCAAATCTCTGTGAGTTCAAGGCCAGCCTGGTCTACAGAGTGAGTTCCAGGACAGCCAGGGCTACAGAGAAGCCCTGTTTCAAAAATCCAAATTTAAAAAAAGCTAAAAAAATAAAAGACGCCCATCATGCTATTATAGAGGCAAGGACTTAACTGGGGCAAAGGATCCTGAAAACACTGTGTTGATTTGGGGAGAAGAGGAGAATGGTTTGGGAAGGGTACTCTGCTTTGGAATTTGGAAGAACTAACTGGTGGAGTAGAAAAAGCAAGCTCAGTATCAACTCCATGTTGACTAGAGAGGGCAGAGGCCAAGGGTCAAGACCTTCCTAGCTACTGACTCCCAGACCAAGAGTATTTGCTGAGTGGGAACTCAGTGTCCTCTTAGGCAATAGTTACAGAGGGTCTCCTGTGGATTTCCTTACCATCTATTCAGACGTTTGTTGAAGAAGTATTTACTGAGTGCCTGCCATGTACTAGGTACTACACTAGTCCCTTAGGTATACAGTACAGAACAAAATAGACACACACCCCTTGCCCTCAAGGAGCTCACATTCTGGTGGCATAAGAACAGCCATAACCAAGTAGACACATATAAGAGGGGACTTTCAGCCGGTATTAAATGTAAGGATAGACACGCACTGGCAGCTGTGACGGAGATTCAGAAGAGGGGCCCTACTTAGAAGTGGTCAGGGAAGGTCTCTCAGAGGGGACATTTGAGCTGAGCCCAGAAAGATGAGGAGCAAGCCAGGTGGAGGGCTGAGGGAAGGGCTAGCAGGCACAAGGCAGAGCAAATGCAAAAGCTCTGCACTGGGTGAGTTGTGGGTGTTCAGGGATCTGAAGGGAGGAGCTAAAATAAAGTCAGTATGCAGGAGTAGCCCCCTCTCCGAAGCATGTGTCCAGGGGAGTTTGGAAAGCCAGCAGAAGCAACAAGCAGAGCATTAAAAGGGTTGTCAGCTGGCTATCTCCAGTTCACAATGCGGGGGGGTGGGGTGGGGGGGTGGGGGGTGGGGGTGGTTGAAATCTCCCAGAGGTTCCATAACTATCCAAACAACAGACAGCAGTGAGAGGCACATCCTGCCCATGTTTTATGCTTCACTAATTGTTACCTGGTACTGAGCCATAGTCCTAGTGACCTGTGGAAGCTGAGATAGGAGCTCTGGAAACAGCTAGATGCTCAGCACCTCCTTCAGTCGCAGTGAAGACAGGGCGGGTATGCACTGCTCTTCCTTCAAGGCTCCTAGACTCAGGCCCACGTGAGAATATCCTAGAGGCTCTCTTTGCTAGGCTGCTCAGATACTCAGGGCTATGAAAAGGCCCATCCAGGTCTGTGGCCCCAGCCTGACCTAGAGTTGTTCCACCACTGCAAACCCAAGCAACCATCCTGATTATCTTTCCAAACAATCTGCTGGCCCTGCAGCTCTCCCTTCTGACCTTTCTGTTCTCCTACCTACCTGCCCCTTCAGTCCTTTCCTCCAGGCTCATCTCCACCTTTCTCTCTCATCAGTATCTCCTATTTCTCCCCCGCCCCCTTGTACTCTGGCCACACACACCTAGCAAGAGCACAATCTAGGGTCAGTCCACCATCTCCCGCTCTCTTTTTCTCATACTTCAGGGCTACTGAATAGTATAGGGGGAAATCACTTAAGTAGAAAGCTTGGCATTACTCTCCAGCTTCAGTTTGGGGAAGCAAAAAAGACCACGGATTCCATAATGACCGTGTGACCTTGGACAAGTTACTTCCCAGAGCCTCTATCTACACCCCTAAAAATGTGGTTGATGATATTCACTTCAGATGGCTCCTGAAGCTGAAACAAGAATCCTCGAAAAAGTACCCAGTTCAGTGCCATGCACAAATGTAGGCACTTAGCTAGTGGGAGACTTCTTTTCTCCTATTCCCCCAACCACATCCCCATTGCTGCCTTGAAATCCTGCCCCCTTTCCTTGGGAGTGCTTCCTCTCCTGTTAGCCTCAGCAGTTGGAAGAGAAAGGAGTCTTATGGATTGAGGGCGCAAGGGACAGACAAGAGCAAGGAGCAAAAGGCTGAAAGAACCGGACTGAAGGCTACCGGAGGGGGAGGAATAGCGTTTGAGGGGACCCAAGGGGCTAGGGTGAGCACGTCGGCCCCAAGCCCTGGAACAAGACCCCGTTCCCAGTACCAGGCCCGTGGCCCAGGTTCCCATGCTGTCTGGATCACTCACCAGGCCGAGGCTGCGAGCCCTCCAGGTGGTAGGAGAAGCGCAGGGCCCGGTGGTGCTGTGGACTAGGGCCGCAGGGCAAGACCCGGGAGCTTGGAGGAGCTCCCAGGCTGGCATCCGAGGGTCCGACAAACTGCGGATCCAAAGGGCCTCCAAGAGCCGAGCCTGAGCCCCTGCGCACCGGCAGTCCGGGTTCCAAGGCTCCAGGGTCCGAGTCGGCACAGGCCAGTGGAGCGGCGCCAGGGGTATTCGCCGCCAAGCGTTCGGGATCCGAAGGCCCAGGGCCCCCCGGG